AAAAAATGAGTAGAAGATCTCAAATGGTAAAAATAATGCCGGAAATGGATTCAGGACGAAAAATCGAGTGGATAGGCACGTTTTGAAAAATTTGATGAATAATGATTTTTCCGGTGTAAAATATTGCGGTATAATTGTACCGATAAGCGTGAAAATATAATCAGTATTTTTAGGAAGTAAAAATATGACGTGGACGAGAAAAATACGTAGGTTATGAATTGGTGATTTAAATTAGGTGATTGATTAAAGTTAAATCTCATGTGGGACCCACCTATGGTCTAAGTGACTTAAGTGACCCTTCTTATTAGGAAATATGACACTCTCTCTCCTATTCTCTTCTTCTCTCTCGTGGGTCTCCCTCCCTCCATGGCCACTTCACCTTCAATTTTTATTCTTCTATAAATTGATCATTTCTCCACCAAATCCATTGATTTTTGTCTTGAAACTTGATGGAAAACACCTTCTAAAGCCATTAATAGTACTCTTAAGCCTTGAAACTCTCTCATTTGTGAGAAAGGAGCTAAAATCAGCCACAAAATTCCTTGGAGTTTTTGTGTTCATGGAGTTTCTAGATGCTCCAATGGTGGAGTATGTTTAGGAGAAGCCTTATGCCAAGCTTTTGAGTAAGTTTCCTTGCATTTAAATGGATGAATCTTGTGATTGGATTTATGAACCCTAAAGAGGGCTTGGTCGATTGATGTGTTTAGAGAGCTCAAATGGAAAATGTTTGTACATGAATGTGTCTTAGAATGATGTGTAGTAGCCATAAATGCAATAAAAATTATTGATGAAAAATGTGAATTTTTAACTTAGAAAAATTTTAGGTTGTCATGACTTTGAGTTTTGGAAATGTGTTAGGATTGGATTGATGAGTTGTTGCATGATTGTATGTTGATATAATGAGATTGTATGAGGTGTGGAGTGATTAAAAATGAGGGAAAATCCTTTGGAATTGCCTATGTTACAATTGGCCATTTGAGGAGAATTATGAGTTGGATGTTGTTGACTTTGCTTGGATGATGTATCATCTGTTAATTGGTAATTATATGGGTTGTGAGGTGGTTGGAAGGTTGGAAAAACAATAGAAAAATATTTGGTAGTGTTGAGTGTTTAATTGGACATAGAGCAAAATATTAAGCAAAACGAAGTTTAAAAGACGTAAAATGAAAAACCGCACTTGTTTTGGCCTTTTAGCAACCTATTGGATGCCTAAGAAAATGAGAAAGAAAATTTAGAAAAATAAATCTCAAATTTACACTACTTTGGCCGAACCTACAAGGGTGTAGGGGTGGTTTTGACGTTTTTCGTGTTCCGATAGAATTGTCGTGTACTGATGATTCGTACATGGTTGTTGTAGGTTGCCGTACGTTGATTTGAACCCCGAACCATGAGTCGGTGGATTGCCATTGGTCCTGGACCAAGTGGGATTGAGGTAAGTGATTGGAACAATGCTTGAATAATTGTTAACTTGCATATGTTCGTATGAGTTTTAAGTAATTGGGAATGTCCTCTGTGTAGGCATTTTTGTTGAGTAACGAGTTCAGAGAATATACTGCTTTGGAGCTAAGTGGAGAGACTTATTAAGGTAACCTCTTGGTACTGGGGCTTGATCCCCTTGTGTGTTCCACCATGCCCGTTGAGGGTGATAGTAGGAAATGTATGTAAGTAATGTAGAACAGCATGATTATGCATATAGTATGTTGTTGGTACATAGGTACCGAGTCTCTGGCCAGTAGAGAGTTTGCCTTCGGGCATTTCAGGCTTTCACTGGATAGGTCTCCGAGAGGGAGTTCCAGTTGACCTAGGGTCGTGGTGTGTGATTCAGATAGGAGCACACTAGAAAGTCTCGGGTGTATATGGATGGAAGGGGTACCTTGGTTGGATGTTCTTGGAACACGCCTTGGATGAGACCCGTAGGCTTATATGCCGAGCCATTAGGCAGGACGTTGCGTGGTATTGGTAGCTACCATTCCAGCTTCGTCGTATTTTATATTCCTATGATCCCCAGTTTATCTAAATCCCTTGCGTTATCCCGTTTTTCAAGATGTTGTTTTATATTATTTATATGCATTGAAGTGAACCATTGGGCGGAGTTTTCTCCGGAACCTCTGGATTACTGAGATATATTCGTATATCTCACCCCGTCTTAGGGGCATTATTTCAGGAGGTAGCAGTGGCACAGGAGCGGCGGGCAAGAAGCCCGTAGGATGAGTCGTTGGAGGACTTTATGCTTTTTCATTTTGATGGCCATTGGGCCTATGCTAGATTTAGGGCATGAACATTTTATATATTGATAGGATGAGTTTTATGTTCATAATTGTTCATGCTATTTTGCCTAAGTCTAGATACAAGTATTTTATAGCATTTGGAGATTTATGAATTATGTTGTAATTGGATAATTATAAAGATTGTATTTGGACCTTGTGCAATTTGAAGCATGTGTAATACGATGAAAGGGCAATAGGCCTATTCTAGGATTATGATTATGTGTATGATTAATAAATGCATGCAATTGAACTTTGATGATTGAAACTTACTAAGTATTGATAAAGGAAGCAAAGTGATAAGTATCTTATACATGTAAAATAAACTGTGATGGAGTGCCTCAAGGCATTGTTGGTCCTTATGTGTGCCACCCAATGATTATTAGGTACATTTGAGGTCCTAGATTACATTAGCAAACTTGGGAATTTTTGTAAAAATAAAGGAAACTCTGGCGAAATTTTTAGAAATTGACATAATTTAGGCGAACTTCGGGAGAGCATATCTCCCTCCACAGAGGTCCGATAGGGACGTGCCATACGCCATTTTGAATCTTGAGATGTCCTCTATCTTGTGGTAATATTTGATAGTATTCTGGGTTGAATTCCGGCCTGGAGAAGGCAAAGAGTTCAGATTACCCATTTCCTCACTGCACTTGTGGCAGTTCTGGACCGGTTTTGAAAAATTAACTTCTGCTCCTTTTCTTAGTCAATTAAGTATATGATATATCAAATTGAAGCTGGAGGTGTATAGTTTGTTGTATAAAAATTTGAGAGCAATTGGTTGAGTGAAATTTCTGTAGTAATTCGTGGAGTGAGGGATGTTTGGAGGTGTTTTGGGGTTGGTTGACAGTTTTCTTGTCCAACTTCAAACGGCGATATCCGGAGCAAACGATCTCTAAATAAAGTGTGTGATAGCTTACTAGAGAGGTAATTGAGTGTAGAATAACATATCAAAAGATGATAGATTTTTAGAATGCGGTTTATCCGCAAAAAATTAAAGATCGAACCATGTTCGGATAGGTAGAAAACGTAAAATTGAGAAATTAGCTAAGTGGGTTTATGGGAACCCCTTAGTGACTTGTAGTAAGTAAAATAAGTTATAAAATAAGTCTAAATAAGTATTCCGTAAAGAGTTTACAGTTACAGTCACAACTTTTAATTATTACATTTTTTATTGTTTTAAATATTCGCGTAATAACGGAAAAAGTTTACTCGCATTTTTATAAATGAATTGCTGTGATTGTAACTGCGTTTAATATCATAATTAATGTTAACAATACCGGTGTACAACAGGCTGTTACAATGATTATTTACCAATACCACAAACATATCATGACTCTAAATTAGATTTATAATTTTCACCGCTTTTCCCACCAAAAAGCATCACTATGGAGCATATGTACTTGTTGTGCACAATTAATTGGGATAAATCCTTTATTGAGTTTGATAATTCCAATACAATTTGTATGTTCCTTTCACATGAAAGATGTGTCTTTCATCATCAAATCAACATGAAGAATGAGTATATTAAGAATTAACTTTGTTTCATTTACATTAAATATATTGTACCATATCTTCATTTTATCTTTTAGGTTATGTTGAGATATCATTTCATTTTGTGAATTTATGATCCTATGAATGTTAAGGTGGAAAAAAATCCTAAAAGTTTTACAATAATATATAACCTCATTTTCAAATTTTTATTATTCCAAATAGTCTAAACAATTCAATTTTTTTTCCCATGCCCTTCCTTAAGTTGTTGATGGTTTGATCTTGCTTTTCCAAATGAATTTTAAGGTGGTCGATATCCTAATGAATTTTTGCAAGAAACAAATTGTAACTCTCAAGAATTATACCTGTACTGTTTTGGGCAAGAAACAATTTTTTTAGATCTAACTCAATCGATTTATATATTTTATAGATCTTTCTTAACTGCTTATTCATATTTTAGATTATATATATATAATATAGTATAGTATAATATAACAGTGATATCTAAATAAAAAAATAACATATGTTATTAACAAAAGCTTAACAAAATTCAAATGCAAAAATAACGCTATACAATAAAAAATAAATTAATAAAAAAATAATATTAAAAGAAATCATATAAATTTAAAATTCAAATAAATGTGGAATACTCATTCACATAATTACAAAATAATAAAGTAAGAAAATTCTATTAAAAAGACTCGTATAAATTTGGAATTTAATTTAAATTAAAATACTCACATTTAAGTTATAAAACATGATAACATCATCAAAATAAAAATTGATATAGCGTTGATTTTAAATTAATCCAACTGAATAGATAGTAAGAATGATAAGCCTAAAATAAATGATAACTATAACTTTTCTCATTATTTTATTAATTATTTTTTTTTTCAAATTATAAATTAATCCTTTTAATAGTAATATATATTAATTGGAAATGTTATATTTATCACTATGTTAGGCTTACCACTTTTAGTATTTGTTTAGTTGTTGGATCAATTTAAAATTAATTGTGGTTAATTTTTTTTTTCACTTTTTTCACGGTTAATTTTAAATTAATTCAACAATAACTTAAACATATAATAAGAGTGATAAATCTAAAATGATTATTATAAACAAAAAATCATAATTTTTACTTATCCAAACTTAGCTTTCCTCAAAGCCAGTGAAGGGTGGTAATTGAAGAGGCTATTACATCACACATATTTAGGGTTGAGCTAATAATTAAGCCTTCCACAATGTGGATGATATAACAGGGAAGTGTTTGGTTTCACCACTGTGTTATGATTTCTGGATTTCTAATTGGCATTGCTACGAGTTTGACTTGCGAAACAAACACAGCCTTAATTTTTGCTTTGAGAAAGGCATGGCAGCGACGCATTTGGGAAGACGAATAGGCACAGTAGTAAAGGAAAGACTAAGAAGGAAGAAAAGTGCGAAAGGAGGACCATGGCACGATTCTCTTATGTGTGCTGCTTCTCGCGCCATTACAGAAAGGATCCCATTGGTAGATCTCATCGTCCAAGTCAGAGATGCAAGGGTAATACCGTATTACTATTACTACTACTTCTACTTCAATTACTGTTTGTTCCTTCAATTTCTACGCATTTGAGAATTACTGTTCCTTCTAGTGTCTTTCTTTTCACTTATTTTTACTCCTATTCTCTTCAATTTTCAGATTCCGTTGTCCTCCGAATGCGAGTTACTCAGAAACTACGTGGATTCATCGAGGCAAATTATAGCGCTGAACAAAGCTGATCTCGCCGGTGGACCGGGTTTTCAGGTTGGTGTTTTTCTTGCTTCGTTTTTTTTTTTTTTTTTATGATGTTCTTGCTTCGATTTATTTTAGCATTATTACGGTTTGTGTAGCAATAGATTTTTTTTATTTTTTATTTTTTTACGGTTTCCGGAATGAAGAGATTCTATGTTATTGGAGCACCACACTCACATTATTATTATTATTAGAGGAGAGTTATAGCGTGACCAATCATTACTGTGTTAATATACTGCATAATCATACATGTCTCCGTATGGATTAAAAACGAATATATATGGTTAAAAATGAAATATCAATGTACTAAAAAATAACATAACATATTTTTAAGTCAGGTTTGGAATGTTGCTAAAGTGTATGAGTATTTTTCTTGTGGATTGACAGGATTGTGTTTCTTGGTCTATCTGTTGGAAAACATGGAAGGAGAGAAAGTGATGAGAGAAGAAATTGAAATTTAACGAGAATAGTTGTGTTTACACAATGAAGTAAATGAGCTTATGTAGAGAAGCTCTGAACGGAGCTAAAGCTAATTTAGAGTAACCTATAGTACCATATAGGCCAACTTCATAACCGAACTAGTAACTAACTAAAAAACTAATCTAACGAATTAACTAATGGAGTTTAACCAATTAACTGAGTGTGGTAATGAGTGAAATTGTATTCCCTTTTGATTTGTTAATTTTATGAAATTTGTTTGTTTTATCTAATAAATGTTTGGAGTAGTATTTGTTCTTTTAATGGATGTGGAATTGTGTCATTTTAGTCAAAATTATTGTGTTTTAAATCATGGTGGGAGAGAGTGAGGTTTTTTTTAATTTAAATATTAAATAAAAAACAGTAATTTTAACTAAAATGACTATCTTTTAAAAGTACAAACATTTTTCCCATAAATGTTTTTGACAATTCATTTTGTGACTAGGCATGGACAGAATATTTTAGGGAAAGGAACTGCATATCTTGTGGAGTCAATGCTCATAACAAGGAGAACATCAAGCAGGTAAACTGTAAGTTCCTTTTTGTGCATTATTGTAAAGAGCCTCAGGAATAAATGATCTTATAAAATATCATGGTATTTGGCTTTGTCTGTCAGTAAATTGTTAAAGGACATGGAAATCGTGTTCCTAATTTTGAATCTTGCAGTTGTGTATGATTCGTGTTTAGGTTGGTCTGAATTAATTAAGAAATTACATTTGATATTACTTATAGGCTATGTTTGGTATGATGGAAAGGGGTGGAAGGGAATGGCATTAGTTGCCATTGTTTAAATTATTCAAAATAGGGTGGATGGAATGGAACATGATGGAATCTATTCCATCCCATTCTATCAAATACCTCTATTTTTCTTCTCCCAAATTTGGTGGCTATGAGATGAAACCATATTATTGTTTACTAATCTCCTTACCATTTTGTGCACTTCCCAAACAATAGAATGACAACTTTCCTCCATTACATCAAAAAATATCTGAACAATGGGATAATAAATTTATTTCATTCTATCTCATCTTATTCCATTCCATTTCACTGATCAATAGATATCCAAATTGTAAAGAACCAATTCAACCCAAAACCTTAAGGTGTTAGGTGAAAGCCTTTTTAAAGGTTTATATTATTCTCTAACACACCCCCTCATGCAAGAGCCTTTGGGCTTGAAGCGTGGATATTACACAAGTCTAATTTTTTGTTTACCTTGTGCTTATTTAATTCCATTAGAAAGTCAGAGCAGTGAGATCGAACTCGTGACCTCGTGGTCACTGAAGCTCTGATACCATGTAAAGAAACAATTCAACCCAAAACCTTAAGGTGTTAGGTGAAGGCCTTTTTAATGGTTTATATTATTCTCTAACACAAACATAGTAAGGAATCTGTGTATGCATGGCATGATGCATCCATGGTTTTGTCAGTAGCACACAGTAATTGTAGTGACATTTTTTACTCTAGTAAAGCATTTTAAGTACAACCTAAAGTATGATCAGTTTGAGATTCTGAAAAATGTTCGTACTATGTTATTCCTATTCCTTCTTGCATTTTTTTCTTTTTGGTTTTTCTCCCATTTCTTTTTAATAATTCTGTTGTTTTCTTTTGCTTTGTATTAGTAGATCCCCAATTAGTAGTTGGACAGTCTCTGTTAGTTAGTTAGTTAAATAATTAGTTAGAGAAGGATAGATGTGTTACGATTGCGCAGGAAGTGACATGCAAGCAACGAGAGTGGGTTCCATTCGTAAGAAGAAAGCTCCTTTGTGGGTGAAAGACTTTGCATGAGTGATGTGGCATGCTGGTGGTTACGTAAAATTAGGAGGAATCGTTAGTATGCACGTAAATAAAAGTTGTTAGGTATAGGAGCTGTTAGCAGGTTAGAAGGGGAGTTACACACTCTCCCTTAGTTATGGGAAATTTGGAATTGTATAAAGGAAGAAACTCATGAATTGTATCACATGCAAACATGAATAATCAAGATTGACTCTCATTCTGATCTGTATCCTCTCCTTCTGTGTTCACTCTTTCTGGTAACGGTGTAACAAGATGACAGGATATAAATAATATGAGGGAAATAATAATGATTAGTTTTTAGACTTGGCGGGAGAGATTGGGTGGGAGAGTCCAGGTCTCTCAAATACCTGGGTGAGGAAGAGAATTCTTTGTACTACTTGGGTTCTTGATCTGTGTTCCATATCACATTTATACCAGTGCAGAGATTGATTGTTTGCAATTAAGATTACTCAGTTTTTTTTTCGTATTCTGGTCCAGTTCTATCACTTTGGTTCTCTTGTGGATGCATATTCTGGTGAGTGGAAATAAGATTCTCGGCAAATGGGCAGTGGATGGGATGATCTAACTTAGTGAGATTCCATATTTGGTATTGGATCTCCTAGCTGCAAAGTAATTGGTAATGAAATATGAAAAAATAAAAATAAAATGCTCTACACATTTTCTAAAAGAAAAAGTGTGCTTCCTGGGGTATGACAAATACAGTACAATTTCTGTATTGTTATATTGAATCCTTATTTTTCTAATTAATACATATTTTTGTAGTTGCTCATGAACTAATATACTAATAAGGACTTTTGTTTTTTAAACAGTTTCTAAGCCTTATACAACGCCAAGTGAGAAAATTGAGGAGAACTGATCATGGTAATTATACTGCAACAGTAATGTTAATTGGGATTCCTAATGTTGGTAAGTCGGCACTTGCCAATGCCTTGCATCAAGTGGGGAGAATTAGTGCAGCAGGTATTTATTATGTCACTTTTTATGGAACAGGCTAAATGACATGCTCAACTTTTGAGAAACACAAGTGGATGCATATATTGGCAAAATTTTCAGTTTTAACTTTGAATTTTTTTCCTTCGGCAATTTTTGTTGTATAGAAAAAGGAAAGTTGAAGCATGCAACTGTGAATCCAGAGCCTGGAGAGACCAAAGACATACGAAGCTTTAAGGTTAGCCATTAGTTTCCTTGGCACTGCACTTACATAATATTGCTAGCAAAAAATATTTATGGACCTCGAAGTTGTATGCTTCCTTAATGGGACTACATCAATTTTATAATGTTGCTGCTGTGCTAAAGGATCTCATAACTCTTAATTAGCATCTTAAAAGATTTTGGAAAACTCCAGTCTCATGCTACCTTTTGTCATTTTCTTTTGGAAAAACTTCACTTTCACCTCTCCTGGTTTAAACTTATCACTTGAATCCATTGTGGTTTCAATATGTTTCACTCAATCCCGTGAATGTCAAAATGTCGTTATTATATAAAAGATCAAAAATACCCTTAATAAATAAAACAGTATATTAGAAATGAAACGTCAAAATAACCCTAAATTAAAAACAAAATTCTAAAATATTATATAAATTCAAAAAAAATAAAAAAAATGTAATTTATTTATGATATACAGTTTTATTATTTACAAATAAAATTATATATATTACTTATACAATTGTTAGAGAAATATAATATAAAATTATTAATGTGGCTTGACCTAAAATGCCACTGTCCCGTTCAATTAATAAATAATTAAATATTGTGGAATTTCGTAGCACAAGTAGGTGGGCTTGTACATTGTCCACCCTTCAAGGCTAATTGGCTATTGTGTGAAGGGGTGTGTTAGAAAAATAAAATATAAAACAATTAATATGACTTTCACCTAAAAAGCTTAAGCTTTTGGGATGAAATGGTTGCTTTCCAATAATATGCATCTTTATGTTTATTAAATATAATATTTTGGTATTTATATATTTTCCAATATATTGACTAAAAAAAAATTGATTGATATTATAATTTTATATGTGACATATTTCCCCATCTTTTAAATTTCATTTTTTTTTTTTGTATATATCAATTGACATATATTACTTTGTATTTGTTGACAGATTATGATATTTTGTTATGATAATATATAAAATAACTTTAATTCAAATTTTGATTGAATAGGATTAACTAAATTTTTTTATAATTTATTCAGCAAAAAAAAAAAATTATAATTTAACATTTTGTCTGAAAATTTGTTTTATAGTATCATTATTTGGAAAGCCCTTAAATTTTAGAATGAGTTGTTTTTATTAATTGAAAAAAGATAAAGATTATTTTGAAAAATGGAAAAATTAAAAAAATTATATACTAGAGGAAAAACTTAAGCATGTGATTTAAGATTTTCACATAATATCTATCCTTTCATAGTTTCATAAATGAACTGTTAGGGATATTTTTGACATTTTATTTATAATTTAGTGATTTTTTTATTAAGGTCAATATTTATATTTTATATAATAAGGATATTTTTGGCATTTAAGGGGTTAAGTGATATATGCTGTAACCATGGGAGGTCTAAGTGATAAGTTTGAAACCAGAAGGGATTAAGTGATAAAACTAAAACCATGAGGGATTAAGAATTTAATCATCTTATCGAACAAAGCAACCGCTTGATCAAGTGTAACTTTAACTTTGGGAAGGTGTTTCATGCACAGGCATGCTCATCTAGGCATCTTACATTCCCAGATATCTAGTATGGTTATGCTCTTGTTTGGTAAGCTGGTAAGATTTTTTTTATGATTGTTAGTAAGAGAAAAAATTTTATTAGTGAAGCCACTAGAATTAGTCTAGTGGTGAGGGGTTTCGGTAGTTTGCATGAAGTTATAGGTTATCCAAAAAAAAAAAAGCACTAGAGAACAGAAAGAAAAGTACAAAAGCAGGGGATAAGATATTCACTCAAAAGAAACCAACAAAAACATGAACCAGAATATGCATCCTAAAAATTACCAATTGAACAAACCTTGCTAATCACTTTGTACGCCCACCAAAGAAACCACCAGTATGCATGCTAGTGATGCATTCCTAAACATGTGGGGATTTCACATTCCTAGATAAAAGCCAGGATTTTTTTAAATAGATTGCCAACTTTACCATTTATCACGCATGTTTCAGAGTGAAAGGTGGTTTTCACTTGTAATGCATTGAATACACATGCAGATTATACATGCATACAAAGTTATTGGTGTAAAGAACCTTGGGATACACCATCCCAAAAGCTAGCTCAAAGGGTGGGAGTGCCCAGGGCCTTATAAACTCCACATTGTAAAGAACCTTGGGACACACCACCCCAAAAGCTAGCTCAAAGGGTGGGAGTGCCCAAGGCCTTATAAACTCCACATTAGTTGCTCATACAACCAATGTGGGACTATATATCTCAACAATTGGAAACGTAGTATGCGAGTGTACTAAACACCTCCTAGGTGTTCCAACTTGCAAATTATTTGTAGCCAACTGCTATATACTTTTAAGAATGTTAATTAAAATAAAGGAGAAAACGTTTTGTTAGGTATGGTTCCTATCTCATTTTATTAGACGACTTACACCTGGAAAAACATTTTTGAAAGGAATACATGTCTATTTGAAGAAAATAGTCATGCACTTAAATGTTTAGGTTAAATTGATGCTTGCGTACTTTTTGTTGGCAAATCTTTGCTAAGATCTTCGTTACTTTCTTTATTTTACTAAAAATTCTGTCCTGATCTTGTATGCATGCACTAGTACAGCTTTTCTGCTTCTCTCACTTGTTAAACTTTGCTTTCCATTCAGATTGGTAGCCATCCCAATATTTATGTCTTAGACACTCCAGGTGTTTTATCTCCTGATGTTCCTGATGTTGATACTTTATCTAAATTAATTTTAACAGGTATGTTTAATTAATTTTCCTTTTTTGTTTCGCAGATTAAATAAATATTTTTGAAACTTCAGCTTAAGATTGAAATGCTCACATTTTTAAGGGTGTCTATATACCTTCTAAACTTGTTCTTCTCATGGATGTTTCCAGGGAGCTCCTATGTCAGATATGCATAGAGAATGGGCAGGATTGCTGCATTCTTTATTGTATTGTTTTTCTTGTTTTGGGGTCCTCCCCATAACTAAAATCTCGATTTTTCCTTTCTAATAAAATTTCTTCTCCTATCAAGAAAGGAGACAATAAAATGTAGAGCAAGGGATAAGGAAGCCCCCTACACAATAAAGTACTACTACGTCCCTCTAATAATTCTGAATATGCATTATGGAAAACTACTTTCAAGAAATGAACACAACGTAGTAGAGTATTCAAAAGAACCATTCCTATCCCAAACTAATTATGTTGATCTCTGTTAAAACGGTGCTCGATTATTCTACCATTTTGCTTTACACAGTGCACCAAACTAATGCAAATATGCTCATGCCTTGATATTTTCTTCATCTTCTACACAATGCTCTCTACACTACATTCAATCTTCCTACATTTTTTGTTACCAAGCAAGTGTGGAGTAATTTTTATTTTCTAATTTCCACTTTCTCAAACAAGCACACTCTTACTTCCAAGTGAACCAAACAACAAAACAATTTTCATTATGGACAGTGCGTTAGCTTTTGTAGTTCAATCTTTCCGATAATCTCTTATTTTTGTTTATTTGAAACCTTCGTTTTAATTCTAATGCAGGAGCAATTGGCAATTGTTTGGTCGGGAGAGAAGAAATTGCTCAATATTTTCTAGCTATTCTCAACTCTAGTGAGCAATACAAGAAATGGGCAAGGTTATCTTCCGAGGATAATGACATATTCTTCCTTAACAGCACAACAGGATGTTCAACTAGCCCTGTGTTGCAGTTGAAGCAGAAAAAGCAAATCCCTATTGATCACACACAGGTATCTGCAATTTATATTTCCTGCATATCTTAATGCTCGTGTAGTGTTTCAAGTGTATGATTACAAAATATTAATTGTTGTGTTCTGATTAAAAAAAAAAAAAACACAGCGAGCAAAAGAATGAAAAGATAATAAAACAATTGAGCCCAAACAAACGATTCTCAAGTTAGATATGTAAAAAATTCGGAAACTAATAAAGGAGTCAAAATTTTCCAAAAATAGTTTGCATTTCTATTGAAGTTGACTTGTATGCTGTTGGGGCTCCAGTAAAGAATCAGCATGATGATTTTCAGTTTGCCACTAACTAGATATTAAAATTTCAAGTTGGATGACAAAGTTATTTATTTTCTTAATTCCCATGGTTCCTATGATTGATGAAGAATGGTTATAATAAATTGCATAATCAATGGCTTTGCTCTCTTTGAAATTTAAATGCATTTTAAGTAACTCCTTGTTTTACAGGATTGCGTAGTACAGGATGTTCGACAAACACTTTTTAAAACAATTTCATCTTTTGATGGTAATATAAGATGTGAAGATGAAATGGAAGCACTTATTGCTAGGCAGTTTACTGCCTTGCAGGAAGCTTTCCAGGTTCCAACTGAATGTGAAGATGCTCATGGCATGGTTGCTGGAAAGTTGCTTAATCTTTTCAGGACAGGTCGTCTTGGACATTATATTTTAGATCATCTTCCCAGAAATATTCGCTCATCATTGCAGGCCAATACATTGTGTGATAAACTCTAAATGGAACTACTCAACTTAGTTATAACTTTTAACCATATCTAATTTTAAAGCAAAAAATAATAATATGGTTTTGAATCTGTGTATCTTCCATATTTGGCATCCAATAAATCATGTATACTATACCAGCTACATTATTAATCATTTGTAGATATGTCTTGCTGCCAGGGAGGATACTTAATTACTTGACTTACATGTGGGTTCAATGGAGGGAGGCGAGGAATGTTTGGTAAAGTGGTGCAGTTTTTTGGTTTGGAAATGTTACTTCTAGCATGGAGTTGGGGCAGGAAAAGGTGAATTGAAAGATGATGCAACAATAACCCCAACTTTTCCTCAAGGATTGGGTCTTAAGTTGATCATTGGAAGAAAAAAAATTAGGGTTAAAGGTTAAACTTTTGCACTCTAAGCCTTGGTGGGGAATTAGTCTCATTTTATCTTTGATTTAATACATCCTCTGTTCCAAGAGAAGATAGTTTTAAGGCTCTATTCTGAGGACAAGGTAGTTGAGTGAGATACCTCCTGCTTTACCAAGGTGCAGCAACTGATGGTGATGCCAACGGGGACTCCACTATTTAAACTAAGATTGGTGGGAATGATGACGTGTGATTAAGGTGAAAGTAAGTCTATCATTTGTTGGAAGTGGGGTTGCATGTTATTGTATTGGAATCAAGTAGTTAAGTTGGGACTAACAATGAATGATGTGAGAGGATACAGTGATGTGGGATGGGATATTAGTGTTATAGAGGGAAAGCAAAAGCAGGGATTAAAAAAAAGGCTTTTTTATGTAACAAAGCATATTAAGATGTACCGTAGGCGAGCCCGTAGAGGATCTGGAGCTGATAGTAAAATCAGTATAGATGAGTTGGCAGCTGATGTGGAGGAGGGGAGTAGTGGTGAGAATAAGTAGTTATTGGTAAGGTGTGGTGTGTGTGGAGAGCTGGAGGTTGTTATATGGAAGCATGGGTGTGGGTAGAGGCATTCAGTTAGTAAGTGAGTCCTTAGGAGAGAACAGAGTACTCTCGAATTGCTCTAGTGATGGTATTAATCTTTGTAGTTGACGTTCAACATTTCTTTTAATTCATAATACAAATATATTTTATACAGAAAGAATTGTTCAATTGTTGTTAAGTCACTGTGTTATACTTTAAATTTTTGTTGTTAGCCATTACAATTGGTATCAAAGCTTCCGTTTCTAGGAGCCTTGTATGGTTCTGACAAGAAGGATGGAAAATCGATTATCTGCACTGGAGGAGAAGCTGACGCATTGGATCCCTACTTGCGAAGAACGTTCAAGGCGAATGGAGGAAGGAATTGAAACATGATTTCGTTAATCAGAATCGGTGCAAGAAGATCTGAGACGATTAATCAATGGAATGATCTTGAATCGAGGTCGAACCAGAGACAATGGAGGAGGAGGTGGATTGAACGGTGAAAACGACAGAATGAATGGAGTTACGACAGGAAACAGTGGCACAAGTGGTGGTGGGGTCGCAAGTAGCGCGAATGGAGGGGTTGTGAATGGTGGAAATGCGGGAACAAACGATAATCCAGTAAGATGTCTGGAGCTGCCTCTTTTTGATGGAGAGGATGCTTTTGGTTGGATCCATTGAGCGGAGTTTTATTTCACCATTAATAGAATCCCTGAAGTTGAGAAACTGATAGTTTTGGAAGGGAAGGCTCTCCATTGGTTTCAATGGTGGGAGGGTCAAAATCCTGGAGCTAATTAGGAGCAATTTAGGACACACGTGTTGCAACGTTTTCAAGGAGTCATTGCAAATTGCACTTTCGCACCATTGTTGAGGTTGAAATAAGATGGAAGTGTGAAAGAGTACGGGGAAGAGTTTGAGAGGGTGGCTGGGCCATTATGCTTAGGGATATTTGGTTAAATGGGTTGAACGATGAAGTTGTGGTAGAATTAAATATTTGTGGACGAGATATGCACTATCAGATTTGATGGATTTGACCCTATTTGTGGAAGAAAGGAGCGAAGTGTATGCTTTTGGTAGAGTAAATAATTGGAGTGGTGTGAAGGCCCAGTCCAATTCAATTTCTAAGGCCCAAAACACTTATCAGTATCGCAGTTCAGATCCTAAACCTGGTTTAGGCACGCAAGGGGCACATGTCAATGTAAAAACAACCTTATCCCCAAATCAGACCCTGAACCGCAATAGAGCTGGAGAGAGGATAGTGAGCACAGGTAGAACAAATTCTCGGCGTTTATTTAATGAAGAATGGCAGGAGAAAATGGTGAAAGGAGAATGCTTTCACTACACAGAGATGCTCGTTCGGGGTCATAAATGCAAAAACAAGCAATTTCACCTCCTTTTGATTGAAGACGATGACGATGAAGGGGAAGGAAGTGACCCACGGAATTCGAACCAACTGGAAGAGACTGACGACAGGGAGCTGCACTTGTCCATGCATAGTATTATGGGGTTAACGTCGAATCAAGCCCTCAAGCTATGGGGATTCATCGTGCAACAACCGGTAGTAATCTTGATAGATTGTGGGGCCTCTAGTAATTTCATCAGCAATAAGATAGCTCGAGTTGCTGGGTTTTCAGTTAGTTCGACCCCTCAATATGCAGTGGAGGTAGGAGATGGTCATAAGGTGTAATGTCAAGGTGTGTAAATGCGAGGAGTGGTTTCTCGATTGGATCTTTTTCTTTTTGATTTGGGAGGCACAGATGTAGTCCTCAGGTTTGATTGGCTGCAGACGTTGGGAGAAATTAAGGCTAACTTCAGGGAACTTACTCTGAGGTTTGATAAATGGGGCAACGAAGTGTTGGTACAGGGAGATCCGTCTTTGTCCAAGACGGTTGTATCTTTAAGATCTATGCTGAAGACCTTGGAATCAGAAGATGAAGTTTTTGTAATTGCTCCACAACATGCAAGTACTGTAGAAGAAGAGGAGGTGCAGTCCATAGAGATATTGGGAGAGGCTTTGCCAATACTGTTGGCTGAATTTGAGGCAGTGTTCGTTTTCCCTCCTGGGTTGCCACCCCAGCGTTCTCATGATCACGCAATAGAATTAATCCCAGGTAATACCACACCTAACATTAGACCCTACATATACCCACACCATCAGAAGAATGAAATCAAGAAATTAGTTGGGGAATTGTTGGCTATGGGTCATATACGTTCGAGTACCAGCCCATACTCTTGTCCAATTATTCTTGTCAAGAAAAAAGATGGAAGCTGGCGTGTTTGTGTAGACTGCAGGGCTCTAAATAAAATCATCAAATTAAAATCACCGTCCCCAATAAATTTTTGATTCCTGCCATTGATGAGGTTGGGGGTGCACGAATATTTTCCAAATTGGACCTCAAATCTGGTTATCACCAGATTCGTATGCGAGAAGAAGACATTTCCAAGACGGCATTTTGCACACACGAAGGTCATTACGAATATCTTGTGATGCCTTTTGGTGTTTGTAATGGTCCTTCTACTTTTCAGGCTTTTAATGAATGAGGTATTGCGACCTTTCTTGCGCAAATGTGCTTTGGTATTTTTTGATGATATCCTTATTTACAGTGCGGATCTGGAATTCCATATCTGTCATTTGCGAGCTATTCTCCATGTGATGCAGGAAAATAACTTATTTCTGAACCGCAAAAAATGTGTATTTGGGCGCTCTCAGATTGAATATTTAGGTCACATTGTGACTGCTGAAGGTTTTATGGCTGATCCTTCTAAGATTTCGGCTATGCTTGAATGGCCTATTCCGCATAATGTCAAAGGGTTACGCAGGTTGTTAGGATTGACTGGTTATTATCGTAAGTTCGTCAAGGATAGCTCGACCACTTACTCCACTACTTAAAAAAGATGGATTCGTGTGGCAAGAGGAAGCACAACTTTCTTTTGATTTATTGAAACGTGCTATGACCATAGTTCCAGTTTTAGCGCTGCTAGACTTTTCTAAGGTGTTTATAGTAGAAAGCGATGCTTCGGGAAAAGGTGTTGGGGATGTGTTGATGCAAGATGATAGACCTATTGCTTTCCTTAGTCGCGGGTTTAGTGCACGTGCCTTGGTTAAATCTGTGTATGAAAAAGAGCTTATGGCGATTGTTTTTGCGGTTACTAAATGGCGACATTATTTGATGGGACATCATTTTATTATCCGTACTGATCAGAGAAGTCTACGTTTTTTGACTGATCAAAGATTGCTTACAGAAGAAGACCAGCAGAAATGGGTATCAAAATTGTTTGGCTTTGATTTCATAATTCAATTTCGCCCAGGCAAAGAAAATACTGTTGTTGATGCTCTGTCTAGGCAAATGTGTTTTAATGCTATATCTCAGGTGCAAATTGATGGTTGAGATGCTATTCAGAATGAACCGCAGCAAGATGCACATCTCAACAAGGTGATTCAAGAGTTGTTGATAGATCCTTCTGCTCATAAGGACTTTGTCTTGTAGGGTGGACGATTGTTTTATAAAAACAGACTAGTATTAGCTAAAACTTCTTCTTGGATTCCGAAAATTCTTATTGAATTTCATGATTCTATGGTTGATGGTCATTATGGTTTTCGCAAAACTTGTAAACGTATCAGTAACTGTTTTTTTTGGGAAGGCATGCGTAAGGATATTCATGCTTATGTGACCGCTTGTGAAGTATGCCAACGTAACAAACATTTGACATTGGCTCCTGCAGGTTTATTGCAGCCCCTCCCTATTCCGTCATAGGTTTGGACTGATATTGCTATGGATTTTGTAAAGGCTCTTCCCATTTCTAATGGTTATGATATTATATTAGTGGTGATTGATCGTTTCACTAAATATACTCATTTTCTTGCTCTTAAGCATCCTTTTTCTGCAAAAGATGTTGCTAATCTGTTCATTAAGGAGATCGTGCGCTTGCATGGGTTTCCCTTGTCTATTGTTTCTGATAGAGACAGATTATTCATGAGTTCCTTTTGGGGGGAGTTGTTTTGCAAAGTTGGTACTTCTTTGAAGTTTTATTCGGCTTATCACCCCCAATCCAATGGTCAGATGGAAGTTACGAATAAGTGTGTTGAAACGTATCTTCGATGTTTTTGTCACCCCCGTCCCAAACAATGGAATCTTTGGTTACATTGGGCTGAATTTTGGTTTAATACCAATTATCACGAATCTGCTG